AACATAATTTATCACATATCAGTTCTTTTTTACAGCATTATAAAATGCCATTATCATCATATTCTTTATCCTCATTTATACATTTTTTGGAAACAATTTTTTTCTGGGGAAATGTTTTTTAAACCTTTAACTATTACATATTGTTAATTATAATAACCCTACACTACGTTTTTACATATCAAAGGGCATCACCTATTGTTTTCAATATTATACTGAATATATTTGTACACTTAGTACCTAGTACACTTTAAGATCCATCTGTCATTATCTTTTTTTTTTTTTTATCCTCACCCGAGGACATTTTCCCATTTTTTTGTTCAGGTAGAGTGGGAGGGAGAGAGAGGAACAGAGAGAGAGAGAGAAACATCGATGTGAAAGGAACACATCGAGTGGCTGCCACCCGCACGACCGACCAGGGCCGGGAACAAACTGCAACCGAGGTACGCGCCCTTAGCGGGAACCGAACCCGGGTCTCTCCAGACCGCAGGCCGACGCTCTAACCGCTGAGCCAAACTGGCCAGGGCCCATCTGTCACTATTTTTTGTGTTGCTGATTGATAATATTTTAAATTTATGTGAGTGTTAATGGGAGAATTCCCATTTTTTTTTTTTTTTTTTTTTTTACTATTGAATACTCCTATCTTCAGTAAAGGAATAAAGGACTTTACGTTCAGCAGTAAATTTTTACAGACCTCCCCTTTTCCCACCAAACACAAACTTCTGTTATACCAATGTATTTTATAGTTTTGTAGCTACTGAAATAAATCCTTATATTTACAGTTTCCTCAGTGGTTAATTTTTGCGAACAGAAATAGCTATTAATTTGTGATATTGATCTTTTATCTGGTCACTTTGGTAAACTCTATTTTAAGAGTTTGCAATCTATTCTTTTGGATTTTTCAGTTGAAAAAAATTAACTAAAACCTAAAAACATTTTTGGTTCCTTTCAAAAGTAACACTATCTCGCTTTACTTGGTTGTCTTTTTTCATTTACTGAGACTGTTACATAAAATGTTGAATAATAGTTGCAATAATAGGTATTTTTATCTTGTCACTGATTTTAATACAAATTGTTTTAATAGGTCACCAACAAATATGTTTGCTCTAAATTTCTGGATGATACCTTTCATTTGGGAACTTATCTTCTTTCTAAATATTAATAATTTGGTTATGAATTGCCAATGAATTTTCTGATTTTTAAAAATTTCTCTTGATAAAAACACATCTTTAATCTAGTAACATAGTCAATACCATTGATAAATTTCTTAAGCTGAATGTTTTCTTCATTCATAAGACAAAGTTTATGGTGCTAAAGTGAAGTATTCTTTAATAGCACAGTTACACTCTGGCCGGTTAGTTAGAGTGCCATTCTGATATGCCAAGGTGTGGGTTTGATTCCCAGTCAGGGCACATACAAGAATCAACTAATGAAAGCATAAACAAGTGGAACATATCAATGTTTCTCTCTCTCTCTCTCTCTCTCTCTGCTTTTCTCTTTCTCTCTAAAATCAATATATAAAAATTTAAAAATAAAAATAAAGAGCACAGTTACATCTGACTTGCTAAAATGTTAGTCATAATGTTTGCGTATGTCATCATAACTAATTAGATGAATCACTTCTCATCTTTTTATGTTTTCATATGCTCTAAAATAGCATTTCTCAACCTCAGTCCTATTGACATTCGGGCTGGATAATTCTCTGTTGTTTTGTGCACTGTAGGATGTAAGCATCCCTGGAGTCCACCCACTAGATGCTGGAGCATTTATTTCCTCCCAAGTTGTGATAATCTAGATGCTCCAGGTATTGCCCTTGGGTGATGGGGGAATATTTCTTATTTTCTGCTCTACTATAATTTGTAAAACATAGAAGTACTCTACCTTTTTATTTTTTAAGTTTGGTTGTTGGTGGAGTTTTTCCTGTCATTGTCATTTTTTCTCTACTGAATTTAATTTCTTGGGCTAGTTTGGTGATTGAAATTTTTAAATAAAATTATCCATTTTATATCTGTTGCCAAATAAAGCATTATATTTATGCATCTATTCCATTATATTTAAATTTTTATTTTTCTATCTACATTTTAAAAAATCTTATTATGCAGTTAGTCATGCTTTTCTAAAATTTTCTTGACCACTCTTGAAACAAAGTACACATATTTTCTTTTTAAATAATGAACTTTAGTTTTATTGTTAACTCATTTATTTGTGCTTTTTATTTTGGTTAATTGCCTCTTTTGACATTTATTTAAATATTTCCTAGCATCTTATATTGAAAACTTAAAAAATAATATTTGACATCTTTGTTTTTTAAATACTCACCTGAGGACATTTTTTCATTCATTTTCAGAGTGGGAGGGAGAGAGAGATGGGAAAGAGAGAGAGAAACATCAATCTGAGAGAAACACATCGACTGGCTGCCTCCCTGATCCTCGTCAGGATCAAGGACAGACCACAACAGAGGTAGGTGCCCTTGACCAGAATTGAACCCGCAACTCTTTGGTCCATGGGCTGACACTCTAATGCTGAGCCAAACCAGCTAGAGCTTACATCCTTGTTTTTTAATAAATGTCTATTGTTCAGGCTATATATTATACTCCAAGTGTTGCCCCACAGGTTCTGATATGTAGCTTTGTCATTTTTATCTAGTTTAAAGGATTGTTTTTCTCACATATTTTTCTGGCATAGAGAAAGTGTTTAATAAATGAATGTTGTTATTGCTTTGGAACCCTTGTTATTTTATATTAATGATATTGTTCTGTGTAGGTTAATAGTCCAAATTAAATAGTGTACATATCTGTAAGAGATTATTTTGTGTTTAAATAAGAAGAGGTGGAATATGAAAGAGGAGTATAAGAAACTGAGTATTAGAAAAGACTTGGTAATTGTTTGGGAGTGGTGTCTATTAGAAACATAAAAGAGTACAAAACTCCGAGAGCTTTGACTTAGATAATTGGTTAACTTTTGTGAAATTATAAGCTTTATATAGAATATATAGGATTAAGAACAATTATAGGGGCAAATGACCAATTTGGTTTTAACACATTGAATTTGATTTATCCATGAGAAATCCATATGGCAATGTTCAGAAGGAAGTTCTATCTTTAGGAACCTGGAAACCAGAGGTGGCTTTCATATATATATATATATATTAATTTTGTCATTAAATAGGTGAAAAATGAAACTGTGAAAATGGGCAAGATAATTATTTAAATGTCTCTAAGAATTGGCAAAGGGCAGATCCTTAAAAGATTTCAAATTTAAGGTTCTTGGGGGCAAAATTAAACCAGAAAACGAAATTGATAGATGGTGCGAGAAAAACAATAAAGACTAGTGCCATATAATACACAGGGAGAGAAAAATCTTCAGCAAGAAAGTATCATCAGTATCTTAATTAATATAAGTGTCACTAAAATGAGTCAACTGAATTTGAAAGTTCATTTTGGTGTTGCTTTCCACAGGTGGGTGTAGCCTGATTTCCTGGGCCCTTTGCACAGAGACTGTCAATGTGATTTCTTTCCCAAAAAGCCTAAAAAGTTCTTCATATTTGCAAAATTAATATGAAGTTAACATCCAAAATTTGGTACTCTACTCCAAAGGTTGAGCACGTGTGCCTCTTGAAGCACACGTCTGGAAACGTCTCTCAGGGGTAATCTTCAGACTGGGGAAGAGATTCCTCTGTGCATTCCTCAGCCGTATTGAATGAAGGCATTGAGGTCATACATGAAAGTTCCAGCTCCAGCTCTTCTACTGTCTAACTGCATAATTTGGGGCAAATTACTTATTCACTTTCAACATCAATTTCTCTGTATGTATATTAGGGGTGGCACATTTTTGTACTTCATTGGATGTTACAATTATTGGATGAGATTACAGATATAAAGATGATTGCATCTGGCACATGATATATGTTCAAGAAAAACTAGCTATTATGATTCTTTGTGTTTCAGCAGTAGCCTGTGCTATTATTTTATAAAATGCAGTGATTATTGTAATGTGTTAAAATAATGGGAAGGTTTGGCTTTCTGCCTCAATTTCACCTTCCCTCCCTCTTTTCTCTCAATCTTTCTTTCTCCTTTCCTCCCTCCCTCCCACTTGTTCTCTTTCTTTTTTCTATTTATTTCTCTCTTCCCTCCATTTTCATTATATATCTAGTTTCTCTCAAAATTAGGCCATGCTTTATAGAGCTAACTTTGTAGGATTATTTAATTGTTGAATCTAAGTTTCTTTATATACAAAATACATATACTACTACCTACCTCCTAGAGTTGGTATATGGATAAAATTAAATAATGCGTAGAAATGTCAATAACAGGAAACTCTCAATAAATGGGAGCTATACTTATTTTTCTTAGGGTGGTTCTTTGGACTACTCTGTTATCACATATATAAACACAAGTATCTTTAGGATGTCTTTGGCATTTTTCTGGACATATTCCAGGAAAACCTAATTATATCTACATTTCAAATATAACTTGATTTTTCAGTGCTTTATTCCAGAATTAATAATGTATTTTTTTTTTTTTATCCTTACCCGAGGACATTTTTCCATTTTTTACTCAGAGCGGGAAGGAGAGAGAGGAAGAGAGAGAAACATCGATGTGAAAGGGACACATCGAGTGGCCGCCACCCACACGACCCAACCAGGGCCAGGGACAAACTGCAGCCAAGGTACATGCCCTTAGCGGGAACAGAACCCGGGTCTCTGTGGACCGCAGGCTGATGCTGTAACTGCTGAGCCAAACCGGCCAGGGCTAATAATTTATTTTTTAAAAATACTGCAAACCAGATTTCTCATCATATTCTACAGGTCATCTACTGGGGACTTTTTATAGTTAGGGATAATTTAATTGTAATGTTTGTTTCCACCAAAAAGAATTATGGATTTAAGAATATTTTGTGTGGTATAATTCAGGGGATTGAGAGAAGCTTACTATAAACAATAGTAATTCAGTGAGTCTCTGAGTGACACAAAGATGTTCTAAGTGATACGCTCTATATTTATTATGCCATGTTCAGTTATTCAAATATCCCTGTCTTCTCAGTCCCTCATCTTGTTGGTCTTCAACAACACCAATGCTCATCCTCTGAACTTCCTCCTGACGGGTATCCCAGGTTTGAGAGTAGCCCAGGCTTGGATCTCTATTCCTTTTTGTCTCCTGTATGTCATTGCCCTGTCTAGGAATAGCATGATCCTGTTTGTGGTCCTCCGTGAACAGAGCCTCCATGAGACTATGTATTATTTCTTTTCTATGCTGTCAGCCACAAACCTGCATTTGTTCCACTACCCTTGGTGTCTTCTGGTTTGAAGCTTGAGAGATCAACTTAAATGCTTGCATTGCTCAGATGTTCTTTCTCCATGCATTTACTTTCATGGAGTCTGGGGTTCTGCTGGTCATGGCCTTTGATCGTTTTGTGGCTATCTGTGACCCACTAAGATATACCACTGTCCTCACTAATGCCAGGATTGCCCAGATTGGGGTGAGCATGTTGATAAGGAATGTTGCTGTCATGTTGCCCGTTGTGTTTTTTGTCAAGAGGCTGTCCTTCTGCAGTCCTGTGGTCTTTCACATTCTTACCACTACCACGTTGATCTCATTCAACTCTCATACCCAGACAACAGAATCCACAGCATTCTTGGTCTGTTTGCACTCTTCTCCACAACAGGATTTGACTGCCCTTGCATCTTGCTCTCCTATGTCCAGATCATTCGATCTGTCCTGAACATTGCTTCCTCAGAGGAGCGGCAGAAATCCTTCATCACCTGCATAGCCCACATCAGTGCTGTTGCCATCTTCACATCCCTCTCATCAACTTGTCTCTTGTTCATTGCTATGGCCATTCAGCACCTCCATTTGTCCACACCATCATGGTCAATGTCTTCCTGCTCATCCCTCCTGTGCTCAATTCTATCATCTACAGTGTGAAAACTAATCAGGTTAGAAAGGTTGTTATCAAGGTCTTAATTCAGAAGCAGCTCCAAATCTAATCATTAGTTGTCTCAGAGTAGAGATAAATCCATTTATGAATGAATGCTTTGACAGAATGAGGTAATTGTCCCCCAAATGTCTAGTTATGCTTCCAATAGTTCAAACTATGCAACTTATTGGCTATATGATATTTGCTTATTTTCCTTCTAGTAAGTCCATATTAATAAAACCTAAATTATGATTTTATTTTCAAGATAAAATGAGATAATGTATATAAACAACTATTCACATTTATAAGTAGTATGATACCTCAATAAAATATTCATTCAGATTCTGCCTGTGATTCTAAAAGTCCAGACTTAATGTTGGAAACTTTATTAATAATCTAGTTGTGCTTTCCTAAATGATATGCAAAAATCACTTCAATTAATTGGATTTCCCCTTACAATTCTTGATTCTATGCATGCTTCTAAAATATGCAAACTATACAGTGAATCCTAAAATGCACATCAATAAATCCACAGCTTTATGGTCAGTTACTATTTGACAAAGGAGACAGAACCTACAATGGGGTAAAGACAGTTTTTCAGTAAACGGTGTTAGAAAAATTGGACAGGTACATGCAAAAAAAGGAAACTAGATCACCAACTTACACCATAAACAAGAATAAACTCAAAATGGATAAAAGACTTAAATGTAAGTTGTGAAACCATAAAGTCATAGAAGAAAACATAATGCAGGAAAATCTCAGACATTTTTTATAGCAATAATTTTGCAGACATATCTCCTTGGCGAAGGGAAACAAAAGAAAAAATAAACAAACGGGACTACATCAAATTAAAGAGCAAGAGAACCCATCAACAAAATGAAAAGGGAACCCACTGAATGGGAAAATGTATTTGCCAATGATACATCTGATAAGGGGTTAATTTCCAAAATATATGAAGAACTTCTACTAAACTCCAAGAAGACAGCCCAATTAAAAAATGGGCAAAGGACCCAAGAAGACACTTCTTCAAAGAGGACATACAGATGGCCAACAGATCACATTACTATTCATCAAAGAGATGCAAATTAAAACCACAATGAGATATCACTCCACTTCTGTCAGAATGGCTACCATCAATAAATCAACAAACAACAAATGCTGGTGAGGATGTGGAGAAAAGGGAACCCTTGTACACCGTTGGTGGGAATGGAGATTGATGCAGCCACGGTGAAAAATGTATGGAGTTTCCTCAAAAAATTAAAAATGGAACTGCCTTTTGACACAGCAATCCCACTTCTGGGAATCTGAAGAAACTCTAAACACTAATTTAAAAGAATAGATGCAACCCTATGCTCATTGCAACATTATTTACAATAGTCAAGATCTGGAAAGAGCCCAAGTGGCTCTTTCAGTAGATGAGTGGGTAAAAAAGCTGTGGTACATTTATACAATGGAATAGTACTTGGTTGTAACATATATATATATATATATATATATATATATATATATATATATGAAATTTTACCATTTGTGATAGCATGGATGGACCTGGAGAATATTATACTAAGTAAAATAAGCTAGTCAGAGAAAGACAAGTGCCATATGATCTCACTTATATGTCAAATCTAATTGACAGAATTAAATAGATGAACAAAATAGAAACAGAAGCGTGGATACATGGAACAGACTGACAGCTGTCAGAGGGGAGGGGTTTTGGAGGGCTGGATGAAAGAAGGTGAAGGGATTAAGCAAAAAAAAAAAAATCATATATATGTAACACATAGACAAAAACAACAATGTGATGTTAGCCAGAGGGAAAAAGGGGTGGGAGAAGGTGGAGGTGGAAAAGAAGAAGAAAATGGGGATAGAAAGAGACTTTGCTTGAGGCAACGGGTGCATGATGCAGTGTGCAGATGATGTTTTATTGAGTTGGGCACTTAAAGCCTGTATGATTTTATGAACCAAAGTCATCCCCAATAAATTCAATTGAAATTGTAAAAGAATATATAAAATATATATCAATGTAATTCAACTCTAGGTATCAGGTAGGTACAGTTATTTTGCCCTTTATTATGTGCAGGGTCATATTCTGTGTAAATGCAAAATATTATACGAAGTACTCAGAATCAGTTACTGCTGCTGTAAGCTGAACATTAAAAGTTAAGATAATAACAACTAAGGAAATTGAAGAGGTAATCAAGACTCTCCCAGCAAACAAAAGCCCAGGACAGATGGCTTCACGGGGGAGTTTTACCGAACATTCAAAAAAGAACTAACACCCATTCTCCACAAACTATTTCAAAAAATTCAAAAAGAAGGAAAACTTCCAAACACGTTCTATGAGGCCAGCATAATTCTAATTCCAAAACCAGAAAAAGACACTACAAAGAAAGAAAACTACAGGCCAATATCCCTGATGAACATAGACGCCAAAATCCTGAGCAAAATACTAGCAAATCGGATCCAGCAATACATCAAAAAAATTATTCACCATGACCAAGTGGGATTCATCCCAGGGATGCAAGGCTGGTACAATATTCGCAAATCAATAAATGTGATACACCACATAAATAAAATGAAGAATAAAAACCACATGATCATATCAATAGATGCTGAAAAAGCATTCGACAAAATCCAGCATCCATTTCTGATAAAAACGCTCAGCAAAGTGGGAATAGAGGGATCATATTTGGACATAATAAAGGCCATATATGAAAGACCTATAGCCAACATCATACTCAATGGGCAAAAACTAAAAACATTTCCATTAAGAACAGGAACAAGACAGGGATGTCTACTTTCGCCACTCTTGTTTAACATAGTACTGAAAGTCTTAGCCACAGCAATCAGACAGGAAGAAAAAAATAAAAGGCATCCAAATTGGAAAAGAGGAAGTGAAACTGTCATTATTTGCAGATGACAAATTATTATACATAGAAAACCCTAAAGACTCCATCAAAAAATCTACTAGACTTAATAAATGAATATGAAAAAGTAGCAGGATACAAAATTAACATCAAGAAATTGACGACATTATTATATACCAATGATGAACTCACAGAAAGAGAAACTGAAAAAACAATCCCATTTATCATCGTGGCAAAAAAATTAAGATACCTAGGAATAAACTTAACCAAAGAAGTAAAGGACCTATTTGCAGAAAACTACAGGACATTGAAAAAAGAAATAGAGGAACATATAAAAAAGTGGAAGCACAACTTGTTCATGGATTGGAAGAATTAACATCATTAAAATGTCCATATTACCCAAAGCAATCTATAGATTCAATGCAATCCCCATCAAAATACCAACGACATATTTCACAGAACTAGAACAAATACTTAAAAAGTTCAAATGAAACGAAAAAAGTCCCCGAATAGCCACAGCAATTTTGAAAACGAAGGACAAAGTAGGTGGGATCACAATGCCAGATATCAGGTTATATTACAAAGCGACTGTAATCAAAACAGCCCGGTACTGGCACAAGAACAGGCATAGAGACCAGTGGAACAGAACAGAAAACCCAGAAATGGACCTAAGGCAATCTGCTCAATTAATATTTGACAAAGGTGTCAAGAGCATACAATGGAGTAAATGCAGCCTCTTTAATAAATGGTGTTGGGAAAATGGGACAGTTACATGCAAAACAATAAAACTAGACCATCAACTTACACCATACACAAAAATAAACTCAAAATGGATAAAAGACTTAAATATGACCCATGAATCCATAAAAATTCTAGAAGAAAATGTAGGCAACAAAATTTTGGACATCATTCAGAGCAGAATTTTCACTGATACATCACCTAAGGCAACAGAAACAAAGAAAAAAAAAAATGAACACATGGAACTACATCAAACTAAAAAGCTTCTGCACAGCAAAAGAAATAATAATCAAAATGGAAAGGCAACCCACTGTATGGGAGAACATCACTGCCAATGATACATCAGATAAGGGGTTAATTTTCAACCTATATAGAGTGCTTATACAACTCAACAAAAGGAAGACAAAGAACCCAATTAAAAAATGGGCAAAAGAGCTGAATAGACACCTCTCCAAACAGGACATACAAATGGCCAAGAGACATATGAAGAAATGCTCAACATCACTAATCATCAGAGAGATGCAAATTAAAACAACAATGAGGTATCACCTCACACCTGTCAGAATGGCCGCCATCAACAAATCATCAAACAACAAGTGTTGGCAAGGATGTGGAGAAAAGGGGACTCTAATACACTGCTGGTGGGAATGCAGACTGGTGCAACCACTATGCAAAACAGTATGGTGTTACCTCAAAAAATTAAAAATTGAACTTCCATTTGACCCAGTGATTCCGCTTCTAGGAATATACCCTAAGAAACCTGAAACACCAATCAGAAAGAATATATGTACCCCCATGTTCATAGCAGCACTATTTACAATAGCTAAGATCTGGAAACAGCTCATGTCCATCAGTAGATGAACAGATAAAAAAGCTTTGGTACATATACACAATGGAGTACTGTGCAGCTATAAGAAAGAAAGATCTCTTATCTTTTGAGACAACATGGAGAGACCTGGAAAGTATCATCCTAAGTGAAATAAGCCAAGCAGAAAAAGACAAATACCACATGATCTCACTTATATATGGAATGTAATGAACATAACAGTCTGAGGAATACGGTAGACCCAGAAACATGGAAGTAGGGCACAGACTGACATCCTTCAGAAGAGGAGGTGGGGTGGGGGAAGAGATAAACCACAGAACTTATATGCATGTATATATAACCAATAGACATGGACAACAAAGCCAAGGATGAGGTGGGGGTGGGTGTGGGAAGGGGGTGCCAATGGGGTAAAAAAGGAGAAACATCTGTAACAAAATAAATAAATAAATAAATAAATAAATAAAGGTGAGGCTGCAAAGAAAACTCACAAAAAAAATAAAAATAAAAATTAAGATAAACTTCGTCTAGAATTTCATTAATTATCTTGCCTCTACAATCTTATACTTTAATAAATAAAAAAGGATGATGCTATGTTTGGTTGCCTATTATCAGTGAAAGAGTATACCTTATACCTATTTT